CCTTTTTTTTTTTTTTTTTTTTTCCTTTTTTTGAAAAAATTGGGACCGAACATAAGTTATATATCCAGTCATTTTCTGAAAAGATGACAAATTGGCAACTTAAATTTCTCAACTACTTGTACCTCAAATTTGAGAGATTAGATCCCATAAATGTGTTGGTCGGTTAATAACGAATGTCAGTCTTACTATCTCGTCTAAAAACTTAAACTACACTTATAGCATGCAAATAATATTTAAAAGCCAAATCATATTCGCAATTGTTTCATTCGGTGTCCCTTTCTCCCTCAACTAGGGAGAAGGAGGTTTCACAATAAACTAGAGAGAGAGAATATGGAGAAGGCCAATGTGTAGAAAATGAAAAATTAAATGGGATCGTATAAACATGCCAACTAAATTAGTTTAAATTCCTCTATGATCCCCAATTTTTTAATAAATGACATCTATGTCTTCAACATTTAGTTTGTGCCATCTCATATACCCAATCTTCTAACGTTGTGGCTTGTTGGAAAACATCTTAAGTAGTGGGTAAAAGGTAATGCGATAAGCATGCGATAAATGTCTAATGGGCATTTTACTCATGGGCAAAAAGGGAGGATCATTACAAAAAATTGGCTCTTCAACAACTCTCTTCTTTGGAAGTAGGTTGTTTAGAGGATCTATCCAGCCAAGTAAATGATCTACGCTTCGCAGCAGTGTTGGCCTTGAGAATTTGGAGGCCCCAAACGAAAAATTATTTTGAGGCCCTATATATATTTTTTTACACATATAACAATATTTAAATAAAAAAATATATCTATGTTCAAATGAAAACTTCGTATAATTTAGAAGATAGAATTGCAAAATAAAAAATCACTTACAACCCGATTTAATTAATTTCAACTTTGAAAAACTTCTTTCAATTAACGCAACGGTGACTGGAATAGTTAGTAATATCCTATAAGCAACTCAAGTATTTGCAAAACAACAATTCATTCTCTTAGTGTAATCTAACACATCAGTTGCTCCATTAGTTTCTGAGTACCTTTTATTCACTCTGTTCTTTCAAGTAGAAGAAGTGATATATGTATCAACCGGTCCGAGGATTATCAAATATTTTGCAGCTACATCAGGCAATGTTAATAATTTTATACTATTGTTCTAACCTGAAGTATTGTGATTGTTTGCTAATTTATTTAGTTTTAAGTAAAGGCATGCTCTAGTTATCTAAGACGGTCTTCCCATTATTTAGCCTCAATTAAAGTAAACTTCACTTATTGGATAAAAAAAAGAACAAAGGAAAAAGAATTCTAGAGAACATAAAAGGATAAAATCATGAGAATAAAATAAAAAAATTGCATATGAAGTAAAAACTCCCTCCTGAAATTCCAAAGTTTCAATGCCATTTTGCATCTAGGCTTCACGTGAATCGAGGTTTATTTAGGTCTTAGCAAAACATGTGACATTATCTAATGTCATTTCCTTAGTTTAACCTCATTGTAACATCTCGATATTGGATAAAACAAAAAAGGAGAAAAAAAAAAAAAAAAAAAAAAGAATCCCTGGTAATGAAAAAAATATACAATGGGGAATAAAACAAAAATTGGATATGCTATGAAACTTACTTCCAAATCTTCTAGAGTTAAACGTCTATTTTGTGTCTGGACTTCTTGCCTTTTCAATGCATATTCAGCCCAAACACGTTGTAAATCAATGAACTCACTCTCCCATGGCTCTCACAAAATCAAAAGCAAAATAAAGATTTGGGAATTTTGAAATCTGATTCTCCGAATTGAAGAAGACGACTTACCTTTTGGTCGAATCGTCCCTTCAATTTCCTTCCCGTCCCTTCAATTTCCTTCGTGCAGTGTCCGTTCAATTTCTTAAAGGCTAAAGGGCTTAAGTTCCTGTTGGACTTTTGGGTCGAACATGGACAGATGGACACAAAATTGCTCGTATTACTATACATTTTGAGGCCCTGGGCCCAAGCCACATTTTTCGAAGCCCTAGTCAATTGTCTAGGTGGCTTGGCCCCAGGGTTGGCCCTGCTTCGCAAGAACAACAAAAACTACCATCTCGCTCTTTCCTTTCTTTGATGTTACCTTTTTTTCTTTTTCCTACGGTTGGGATGTATAATAAACT